GGGGGGGGTAGTTTTTCTTTTCTTAACAGCTTTTCACAAGATTCCGTGGCAACTTCTACGGGCAGTGTACTAATAAATGAACTGCATTGGAGCGCCTCACCGGTTAAAACAGCGCGGATAACAGGATGAGTTATAATTCTGATGCTGATTTTTGCCAAGAATAAACAAAATTCGGCTAGGAGAAGAAACTAGTTTATATTAATTCCTGCCGATGTTATAGTAAAAAACAAATTAATTATAAAAAAAGAAATCAAGCCTAAACCACTTGTTAGTAAAAAAATTCAAGAATTATTATTTCGTGCAAGTGAAAATTAAGCACATGCTTAAAACAATAGCTGTACAAGCACAAGCATTGAAAGGCACAGCCAAATCCTGAACTAGTCCCGGAAATTAGGCATCTTTTTACTCTCGAAGATAGATTATCAGGTTTTCCAAAATTTTCAAAGTTCTGGTTCGCCTTCTGAAATGCATCCGTTTTTTCGGACAATACTTTTGCCTTAATTATTTCAACCATCGGTACTAGCGGTTGCCGCCTACCAAGACGTTCGTTGAAAGTACCTGTACGCCAAGAGCAACTAGACGAGAGCCTGTACCAATATCACTTTTTTCACGGAATTCCTATGCATTTACGCAACTTCTTCAGGAGATGACCGAGCAAGTGATCAGCTGCTGACCTTTCACTAGTTCTATTCATTAATCCTTTTACTATAGGTCCGGGTGCTAAATAACAAGCCTCCGTTGTTTCTTTTTAAAAATAAACTCGAAGTACGTTCAAGCGATCACTGCGAATACCTATTTGAATAGTGTCACTAAAAAACACTCGAGCACAGAGGACAGCTATGTTAGGTCTTCAGTGAGGGTTGCATGATTCCAGTTGGTACCCACACATGTGTGCCGTCTTTTCGAAGGCTATCCGACTGGTCGTTTACTTTCTCATTCACTGATATACGTTATTTACCGAGTTTCATTAGGTGGGGAACATTCCCTGCCCATCGGATTTTATTTTCTCGTACGATCGCAAAAATTTTATGTGCACTGTTCCAACGATACAAGCAGTACACAAAGTGTCCATGCACGGGGAAATTTGCACAGATACCTGGTACGTTTATAAGCACATCAGAATCCATGCGTCTAGTTTTGGCTCATGCAAAGCAGGTATGCATAGACTTGCAGACAGCGGACAATTAGATTTCTGCATGCATTATTAACACAGCAACTTCATACTTTGTGATCCCAGAGCCGAAATATCGAAGGACTCAAGTTTGACTCTATTGACAATAAGGGGAAATTTGTTTGATAAAACAACCATTTCTCAAATTTTCGTTTTTTCTACAAAAATGCTTCATCGAATTTTAAAAATTTCCAAAAGATCCAAATAATCGTGGCGACAGTTTCAAAGATCCGAGAAAGTACAATACTGTCTGTCTGTGTAACTTCAAAATCTCATAAAATCACTTCAAAATCTCATAGAATCATCGGTACTAAAATTTTGATGTTACTGAGACATGTTACCATATGCAGGTCAGCCAGGCCTATTTATCCTGAATTGCGAATTTCTAGTTTGTTCTGATTAAATCTGAATCAGAAAACTTATTTTGGTGCAAAAAACGGAATGAAGCTCAGCTTGTATTTGAAGCAAAAAATGGAAAAAAAAACGAGGCATGCAGCTCAATTTCCTACCTATTGCCAATTCCGGTTCCGCTTCCAGTTCTGGTTTCGATTCTGGTTTCCGTTCTGCTGCTGTTGCTGTTGATGCTTCATCACCAGCTGTGTGTATGGAGTGTGAGCGAGCCACTGACCGTTTGCCACTTTTGCCCCGCCATTTGCTCACAAATCGGCTTACATCAACTAGTGGTGCTTCACTTTTCAGATCCGCCGTCGTAATTGAACTTCCCGAAGTTGTCGGTGCAGCACCAGCAGTTTTCCCAGTAGCAGTAGCTTCTGGATGAGAGGAGTTACGTGATGGGCCTGTATATCGACGTGCTGTGTACTCCTTGCTGTCGGTGATTTGCTCCGTTTCAGTCGATTCCATGGCCTGATTCTTATGCTGAAGAGGTGCTTCGAACAACGATTTGCTTATCCAGAGCTGCTTGAAAATTCTTAAACTTTTTGACTGTCTCTTGGATGAGGGTGCTGCTGTTGCTGGTGGTACTGTTTGGAGTGGTACTGTTGGAGGTGATGAGGCAGCGGCTTTCTGGATCGAAGGTTCCTTTTGCAATTCTGGTGCATTGGCCTTTCGGACACCAGTTCCTGCTGAAGCTTCAGGAACAGTTTTTGATAAGCCACGTTCAGCAGTAGTAGTAGCAACACTTCCCGGGGTTTGTTCAAGTTGTGGGATAGCAGAAGGCTGAAAATAATCACAAGAAATGCCATGCGAACACAAAACACTCACAAGTATCGCCGATATCATCTTTCTCCCTCTTCCCATGCCAAAATTATCTATCACCTTTTCCCTCTAGCTACTGCCAAATTTCTTGTCCTCCTCTCCACCCCGCCCCCCTTCTAGAAGTCAAAGGCCTCGCTAAATCTAGAAAAAGAAAAAAAAGACGTCAAGAGCCTCTTGCGGCTTGCAAATATCGCCATGCCACTGAACAAATTAGTCGTTTTACTTTCTACACCCCTTCTTCCTTTCTCTATTTCGACGGAAATTTGGTACCAGCACATACCGAGGGGTTGAAATCGCTATCAGCTTGCTTTCAACGAATCCGGAGAAGGCGAGGAGATTCTGCGGATGAGTATGTTACAAATGTGTTACCATTTGAGCTACTTTCAAGTACCTTCGCCTCTCACATGAAACGAGGGGACCTTAATCCTAATTTTTATGCGTTTTTTGCAGCAATGCAATGCGAAAAACGCATATTGACGAGAGGTTGTCTG